CAGGGAGGGGCGAAATAAACCTCAGAAGACTCTGCCGAGACAGGAGGCAGGATTATAGTTGTGCCAGTCCATATGTTTATGTGACTTTTTTTAAAAAAGATGTGTAATATAGAAGTGAGAGAGAAATTAACTTGTCCTAATATTGAGGGTTAAAGAGGGCAGAAGGAAAGAGAAAACGTAGTGAAGGGCAGTACAGACAAGCAGCCCATGGTACAGTCTGAGAAAGGCTAGAGTCCAGCATGACTGTATTATGATGGAAGTCAAAGGAGTTCATGTCATCTTCCATCCAAGTCATGATTGGAACTGGAGCGTCAACAACAAAATCTCAAACCAAATAGTTGGGAAAGCTGGTACAGTGTTCATAGATAACAGAGAAATCAAGCTGAAAAATCACAAGGAAAAGAAATCAAGGAACAGTGAGAAGACAGTCTGACCACTGCAGATTAGGAGAAGTGGTAGAAGTTAGCCTCTGGGCCAGTGCTTAAGTTTTCTAGGAGGAGAAAGTTAGAACCCCCAATTTAGAGCTTGACATGTCTGACCTTGCTCCTCCGAAGGAAATAGGAAGTATAGATTGTTAAGATATGACTTGTGGAGACAGTGAAAAAGTGAATAATGATCACTGGTGGTCATTGTGGTTTAATTAAAAATAAATGTGTTGAGGTAACATTTCTTTGTCCTCTTCCTCCTGTTTCCCCCACCCACTCCAACTCCTCCTTGAGGTCTCATTAATTGCTCTGGATGGATGAAGGACATGCTTTAGATGTATGTGTCTTGATTTCCTCCAGCTCCTCAAAGAATCAGTCACTATAATGTTGTGCTCAAGGTGGAGAACATAATGTAAACAGAGTAAAAGTTAAAAAAAGTAAAAGTAAAAAAAGTAAAAGTAAAAAAAGTAAAAGTAAAAGTTGAGTAGATACTAAGCTGTTTGGAATGGGAGGCAGTCTGGTGAAGTGGAGATGATCAATAATGTTGGACATAGTCGTAGGGTCAATATTGACTTTTTTCACTGCATCTTGAGCAGTTTCACTTCTGTGAACCCCAGTTTACCCATATAAAATGGGAATAATAATACCTAACTTGCTGACTTGGTAGATTAAAGGCGATGACGATCTTGGTGTCCTAGATAATGAAGTAGAGATGCTCTTTTTCTCCCTCCTTTTTGCTGTCTTCTACTCCTTGTTCCCCTTAAAAAAACCTAATTACAACAAAACGAGTGAGTAAGAGAAATGAAGGGAGAATTTTAATCATGTGTAGTGGAGCATGTGTGATAAATTGGAGAAGATAGAGATTATGAGAAGTTAAGATTATTATTCTGCTTCATGTCCTCAAGAATTAAAATCCTATTCCCTGTAAAGCTTCTTCCTGTGAAAGATGTTGGATTTAAACATTCATTATTATTATTATTATTTTACCATGGATGAATGTATGTGAATTTGTATCTCAAAAGCTTTTTCATGAAAACATTTTTATACTTGTGTTGTTTACCCAAGCATTTCTAATGAAGACATTTATCGAATGGCTTTTTAAAAAGCATCCAATTGTTTTAGCCACTAAGTTTTATCACTGTTATTTTTAACTTTTTGTTTTGACATGTTGCTTTTAACTGTAATTAAAAATTATTGGCATCCGTGTTTACTTTTTAGCTTGTGCATACCTTATCTTCATAGCAGAAACTAATTAGTATGTGAACTATACTACTATTAAATTTGCATTAGTGGGAAAAATTTTTTATCAGATGCAAAGTATGGTAAAGGTATATAATATATGAAAGAGATACATGGTATTAATTCCAGTTCCATTCTTATAACAAAGAAATACTGTCTTAGCCTTTGTGTCTATACATCTTTACTTGGTTCCTTCAGTGTAGTTATATGGTTTATGGAATTTGAAAAGAAAAAGGTCTTCTCTCATGAAATTTACTAAGTGATTTAGAAAAGTATTATATGTGCTGATCCTCTTTTAACAAAATAGAATGAAATATGCTGCAGAAATATTTTTCAAAGCTCTAGAACATTTTTTCTGATGCCAAATTACTTGTCATTCCTTAGTCTTCCTCAATTTACAGACTCAAATTACTTAATATACCATAACAGGTAAATATTATCTCTTCTGTGTATCTCTTTCTGAATACCTATCAAGAAAGATTTTTTTCTTCAGACTAGACTCATAGCTTAGTGGTTGGGGGAACCAGATCGACTGTGGTTGGAATCCCAGCCCTAGTAGCTTGAAAGACACTCTGAGCATATATGTACATGTGTGCCCAAAATTTTGATAGGATGGAGAAATGGAGAAATGGGTGATTTCCCCTCTCTCCCTCCCTCCCTCTCTCTCTCTTCTCTGTCAAGTTTACATACCCTCTGACAATCGAAAATATATTCTTTTTGATTCACCCTCATGTTACAGGCATTTAACTTTTAAATTATTAGTGTTGGGACCAGCTGGCGTAATGGTTACATTGCCGAACTCCGACATAGTTAACTATGGTTCAGGACTTGGCGGCTTAAAACTCATGCCAGGTGCTTGTGCATGTGTGCCTAAAATCCTGTGAGGAGAATGGAGAAGAAGGGATTGCAGTGTGGCCACCTGCCCTGCCCCCCGGAGTGATTTCTTGCTTTCTGTCTCTCTCCAGCGAGTGTATGCACTCTACAGCAAAAATCTCTCTGTTAAAAAAAAAAAATACTGTTAATTTTATATTTTGAAAATATCTCAAGACTACCCCCTTTTTCTGCTGCTGTTCCCACCATACTAGTCCAAGCCGTCTTCATTTTTCTGTTGAAGTGCTGTAATAATCTCCTAAATGATCCCTCCTACTTTTTATATACTTAGTCTCAGAGGAGCATAAGTAAACTTTAAAAACACAAATAAAATTGTGCACCCTGAATTCCCACATCACTGCATTACCCAGTTTACATTCTTCCATAGCACTGCTTTTACTTTACCACCCCATTTGCATCAGGTGTATAACCTGAGTTTTTTTCCCTTAATACCTACTTGTTTGTTTTCTGTATGAATGAAATAATTTATTTTTTATTAAATATTTTAGATCTGCCCTGTCCTTAACATTTAGTAAGTGTACATAGTAGGGATTTTGTTCTTAAAATAAATGAATTTATTTTTGTATATCGTGAAATAACCACTTGCACAATGCATAATTGTGTATTTCATACTCCCTAATGGAGGAAACGTCAAAAACTTTATGGATAAAATAGAATTAAAATACACGGTTATTCTGGAACAAAAATTTTTAAAATCAATGTATAGTGTTTTTTTATTTTTTTGGAGAGATTTTCACTGTAGGGCGCGTGCGCTCGCCAGACAGACAGAGAGAGACATAGAGACAGAAAGCGAGAAATCACCCCCCAGGGGGGATGGTCACGCCACAATCCCTTCTCCTCCATTCTCCTCTCGGGATCTTGGGCACGCATGCACACGCGCCCGGCGTGAGTTTTAAGCCACCGGGTCCAGGACACGAACCGTGGTCGACTACGTGGGAGTCCAGTGACATAGCCATTACGCTAACTGCTGGTTCCCGTGTTTTCATAATACACATTTTCCTTCCTTTTCAAAGACCCCTTGTATGATGCTCATTAATAGCAGTATTCCCTCTCTACTTTGTTTTTGTTTGTTGGTTGGTTTGTTTTTCCATTAAGAATGAAACTTCCAAGATACTAGGGACTTTTTTCTGTTTTGTTCAATATCCTGTCTCCAATGTATAGAATGATACCTAGAATACATTCATTGGCGGGAAGAGTGGGTGAATGAATTATCGAATAAACAAACTCCCATATACCCGACACCTTGACATTCATTTCTGTAATAAACAGTTCAACAAACTTGTATTAAGTGTCTGCTATATACCAACCGTTATGCTGGGCACTATGGGTATAGAAATCAATGCATTATAGTTTCATTTCTGCTTCTGATTTATTTTATATTAAAGGGTTTGCTATTATAATTAATTTAGGAATTATGGTATGATTTGGTTTGATAGTGACTTTTAGATAGTTTGAGCACTCAATTCTAGCTCCTATCAAATAATTAAGACTGTACAGTTACATGCTTACTTTTGCTTCACTGCTTTTAAGTATAATTTTCTATTTTTGATTTCCTGATATGGTAAGAAATTGATCCAGCAAGGGCTTTGTTTAGAATCTTGCCAGAAGAAAGAACAGAGATGCTATGTTAGTATCAGCAGCTATCTTTTCCTTTGTCCTAAGGATGATGTTACTTTTCAAATATGAAAAATCCTTTTCTAGTTCTCCATTCGTTGAAGAAAATCTCTCCTACTTAGCTTTTGATGTCAAGATGAGGTTTATGTACAAAATTAGGGAAATACATTCTTCTATGTATTTTTGGTTTGAAATAGGCCCACATGTTAAAACTGTTGCCTAGAGTAAGGGGGTTGTGACCTTTTTAAAAAGAAGCACTCTAAAAAGCCACAAGCAAAAGACTTTGATATAGTTTCTACTTTGTTCCTTTCTATGTCTAACATGTATAGTATCTGCTCAAAACCTAGAATTTAAGCTCAGTAAGAGAAAGTTCTGTATCTTGTGATATAGAATTAAATTGTGTACGTGTAGTCTAACATATATAATATCTGCCCAAAAAGCAGAATTTAAGCTCAATAAGAGAAAATTCTGTATCTTGTGATATAGAATCAAATTGTATATGTGTAGTCTCTGTTCTTGTTTTCACTGATTTTTCTTTTAAGAGACTTAGAGACCCTATGATCTTTACTGAAATATATTGTTTTTATTCCTATGAATAAAACTTATTACAAACATAGAAATATTAATTACCTCATTTTGAAATATTTTGATAAGACTTTTTTTTTTTCCTCCTGGTAAATAGGAAGCTGATCAGTAGAAGAAGCATGCCACTCTTTTAAATTCTTGTATATCTCTGGATGTAACCTCTTCTGATTTTAGAGAAATAGTGAAATTTTTATCATATCAGTATTAAGAATATACATATTAAAAGTTTGTCTTTTCCTTTTGTAGGATGAAGTGGCACACACTCTAACTGAAAGCAGAGTATTAAAGAACACTAGACATCCTTTTTTAACAGTAAGTGAATAGAGGACAGATGTTATAATATTTAAATATAAGAAATTTTGTTATAGAAACTAATGTATGAAAAATAACATGCTAAATAACATTAATTTAGGTATGCCATTTTCTTTGTGGAAAGATTATAAGTCCCATTTCTTTGAAATAGTTGGAATGTATAGGTTTATAGTATGTATACATTTATAGTTTATAAGCCCTACCATTATATATTCATTACCTTTTTGAAAATGTTTTGTCCTGTGAATCTCATTGCCATTAAAAAAACAAGTAGATCACCTGTGACATTTTAAGAAGACCGCTTAGAAAATGATTGAGTTAAAGCTTCTTACTATTAAATATAAAGATTGTGTATTTCTTTTGTTTATTGAATTCTGAAAAACATTTAGATGGTCAGACAGCATTGTCTTCAGGTATGAAAGATAGAAAGCTTGATATATTTTGTAAAGTTAGACTTCTTTTAGGAATAGAGTACTTTTAGAAATACAGGAATACTGAATAAATTAGGAATATTTTTATTAAAGTATAAGCCGTAACTTATATAACATAGTTAGAGTAAAACAAACTTTTTTTTGCCCTTAGATTCCTTGTAATAGAGGAATAATTTGCAGAGTTCTTCTGAAGTTCTAATGAAAAATTTTAAGATTAAGAAAGATACTTTGAAAACTAGAGTTTTAAAATTTTTGGATTACTAAATAAACATTTTCATAGTTTTCACAAGATAACAAGACTTGCCTTTGTTACATTGCTGTGTTTATTGTCCAGTGTAATAAGAAAACACTTTGATACCTTTTTATAAGCTACATGAACCAACTCTGTTGGCGTGGGTTGTGTTATACACCCACTATGCAAAAAGTGATTTGGGAACTATAAACCTGAATACAATCACTATAACTGTTCCTACAGAACTTCCACTACAGTAAGTTGGAGCCATTCTTTTAGATCACATGGTTGTGAACTTTGGGAACCAATACAGTTTCAAATAGATGGATAGTAAATTGAGACAGATTCGTTGCCAGTCCTAAGTTTGCTTTTACTTAAAATTTTAGCTTTAATTTTCCCTCAGCAATACTTATTGCTGAGCTAAACAAAATTTATATTTTTCATAAGTTCCTTCTTAATCACTCTTAAGGAGTAAATCAACTTGTCAGGAACAATAATAGTTAATTTCATCAAGCATGCTTACTATTTCTAAGAGTTCTGTTTTTTTGTTACTATTATAATTATAAGAATGTAGGATTATAATATAACATTTTTTCTTTTTCATTTCAAGTCCTTGAAATATTCCTTCCAGACAAAAGACCGTTTGTGTTTTGTGATGGAATATGTTAATGGGGGAGAGGTGAGTAAAGAAGTAAATCCAGCATTTACATAGTAGTATTTTCATTATTTTAAAAAATGTTATTTAACATACAAGTTATAATATAGCTGTTCTCTATTTCTTGATAGAAATTTCTTTTTTTCTCATTATTTTTTATTAATTAATTTTTCTTTTTTTAACATTAATACACTATGCATCATTACAGTATACAAAATGAATTTTCCATCCAAAATACACTGTCTGCTGGCTCAATCAAGCACATCAACATACATGTTATCAACAAAAAATTTTTCATTTCTTACGTCTTGTACATTTTGCTTTATTTATTTATTTATTTTTTGCCATCCTCGATTCCCTATCCCTAACCCTCTGCCATGTCCCACCCTCCTCCCATTGTCTCTGGTATCCATGGTTGCTTTCTATGCCTTTCCCCATCCCCATTTAATTGATTTGCTAATGAACTTAGTTTGTCTAAATATTTGCAATAGCAAGCACAGTTGATACATACATACACAAGAACCCATGTCTGACTTTAGGCATAAACCTCAGTGAGTAGAATGAACATACTATAAAATAGTACCTAGCTGGGGCTATATAGCTTACTGTGGTCATCAAATACACAGTTTTTTCTTTAAATTTTGGTAACAGTTTTAGTATTTCTTTTTCTGAAAAAACTTTTTTTAAAATTTACATTCACATACTAAATGTGATTTCCCCTCTAGAGTAAACTAATGCTTAATCATGCATGTTGTCATCCATGAAATTCCATTACTACTTTCATATATATTTTTTTTGTTAAAGCCTAGAAACAGGTTAGTATTCTGTTCAAATAGTCGGAACATGAATCTATTGATAGCTGAAGACAGGACAAAAGTCCTTAAAACCAGACAACAAAGCTTAGAAGAAAAGCAGCAATATTTTAGTCAAGTCGTAGAATACTGTTTCATCAGTTCAGTCTCATGTACTTAATCTTTCTTCTGTATCTGTTGAGGTTCGATGTTCCAGATTGAAATCTGGGATGTAATACTCAACTCCAGCTTTTGGCCCTACAATTAAGTTGCCCATTTTCTTAGTTTCTGAACTCTTATTTCTGTGTGTCTGCATTTAATTTTACTGACATAGCACTCCCTTAAGAACTTCTTGGAGATCCGGTCTGGTGCTGGTAAATTCTTTCAGGTTTTGTTTATCTGGGAAAGTTCGTGTCTTTTCTTCCCAAATGAACGATAACCTTGCTGGGTACAGAATTCTCGGTTGAAATTGCTTTTCCCTTAATACTTTGAATACATTTTCCCATTCTCTCCTCGCTCTCATTGTTTCCGATGAGAGGTCTGCCGTTAGTCTGATGGGATACCCTTTGTAGGTAACTTGCCTTTTTTCTCTTGCCAGTCTTAGTATCTTGTCTTTGTCTGTGGTTTTGGTCAATCTGGCTATAATGTGTCTTGGAGAAGATCTTCTTGGGTTGATTCTATTTGGGGTCCTCTGTATTTCTTGGGACTGAATCTTTGAGTGCCTCTCCAGGTTTGGAAAATTTTCTTGTAAGATTTCATGGAATAGATTATCAATGCCCTTATGAGTCTCTTCACCTTCTGGGATGCCTATTATCCGGATGTTTGGACGTTTGATGGTATCTAGTACTTCTCGCATATTATTCTCAAATTTTTGGGCCATTTTCTCAGTCTTCGTGGTGGATTTTTCTAGGCCAACCATTTTCTCTTCTACATTAGAGATTCTATTTTCTGTATGATCTAGTCTGCTTTTAATACTTTCAAGGGAGATTTTGACTTCTTGTATTATAGCCTTCATCTCTAACAGTTCCATCTGATTCTTTTGTAAAGTGTGAAATTCCTCTTTTAGATCTTGCATAAATTTCCTCACCTCCTGGAACTCTTCAACTCCTTTCTCCTTCCTCTTCAGCAGTTCCTTGTCTCTCTTCTCTTCCATCTCTGTTAGCTTTGCCATTATGAATGTTCTGAATTCTTTATCAGACATTTCCATGAATTCCATTGAACTGCTTGTGGATGAAGAGGAGCTATCCTTTTCCCTTGTGGGAGAGGTATTTTCCTGCTTCCCCATATTTCTTGTGGTCCTGCAGCGATTTCTAGTCATCTGGTGGATGGTCGGTTTCTTTCCAAACTTGGAAGTTCAGTCACGTGAGTTTTGTATGCTGGAGGCCCAGTTTTCAGTGGGGCATCTTCCTTTCTCCCAAAATGGCTAGATCGCAGGAGCCATGGAGCTGTCTGTCTCTTGAAGAAGGCCTTTTTCTGTTCCCTTCTGCCTCTCTATGCGAGTTTTGTATGCTGGAGGCCCAGTTATCAGTGGGACATCTTCCTTTCTCCCAAAATGGCTAGATCACAGGAGCCATGGAGCTGTCTTTCTCTTGATAGAAATTTCTATAGCTCTTTCTGCTATAGAGTAGATGGGAGCTGAATAATTTTGAATGAAATGTAATGGTTATATTTATATAACTACTTTATATATTTGAAAGCACAGTCATATTCTTATTATTTTTTAAGTGTAAACATATTTACAAGTATGACTTTTGAAATCATTTTATTAAATTTTGTAAAACAGAAACATACAATTTACTACATTTTTACAAATTTCTTTCTCAAGCAGACTTTGTGAGAAACTTATAAAACGTTATTTTATCTATTGGGTCATCAGAAAAAAGTCATGATGCATTTTTTCATAGGAAAACATAGACAAAACACATCATGACTTTTCTGACAACCCAGTATTTTTAACTTAACTGAACAACAGTCTTTAGACACTTTGTGTTCATTTTCCTTATCTCTTACATAGTTGTTAGAGTAACCCTGATGATATATGAGATCATGTGGTTTTGAAGAAAAATTTAGTCATTTTAGCAGTTCATTTAGCTTATTCTTTTTTTTATCCTTTTTTCTCCTTGTTATTGATCAAAATCAATGTGATAGAAAAATTTAATTTATAAGAATAGTTAACTATGTTACACTCTGGGCCTTCTGACAGTTATTTAATAAGGGCTTATATGTCACAGATTTTAAAATATTCTTACTTTCCAAAATAAAGCAAATATCATCTGTAGAATATTTTCTCCTATAGAATTAACTGATCTGTAGGAATTACTTCATTATAAAACTTCATTCATTTGGTGAATACATTTGGAGGACCTAGGCAGTGTTATTGTATCAAAATATATTAGGAAGGAGTTTAAAGTTCCTCTGATAAGAAAAGATACAGTTTGAGGTCTAGTGAAAGACCTAAGTGCCTATAAATTTGAAAGAGAAACCCTTCTGAATGATCTAGCATTTGGGGTAGTGATCTTTATGAGATTTCAATAAGGGAACTGATTTAAGATGTTTCAGTCAGAGATGTTTGTGTGAGCAGAATTCCTGGTTGGTGAACATAGGGCAAGAAGAACTTTGAATAGTTACATATTAATAATCCAGGTATACAGAACGAGGCCACCTGAGCTGAGATAGCTGAAAAACCATGAAGAATGTCATGGAACTGTAGGGTACATTTAATGACATGTGTGAAAACAAAGGGCGAGTCAACTGTGATATTTGATTAGAATCAGGGATAATTAGAAGATATGTTACGAAGGTAAGTTATAAGGACACGTTGAAGGTAAGATTATAATATTGGTTTTGCAGAGTTTTTACTTGGGCGCAGATAGTGGTTCAGTGATAAAACACATTCACTTCAGAGCAGTCCCACATGGAAAGGTTTACAGTTCAAGTCCAGAGCCAGAGACCTCCCTGTGTATGTGGGTATGTGCTTGCTCATGATCCAGGACTAACTGAAGGCTGGAGATAGATCACGGTTCCAGGATCCTATTGGTGGTGCTATTCTCTGTCTTTCTCAGGAAAGAAATAAAAATTTAGAAAAGGTCAGCCCTGTTGTGCAGTGGTTAAGTGCTGTGTATGAAGAGCTGAATTCCACATGGCTGACTTCAGTTCAAATCCCAGTCCCAGTCCCTTGAAAAACATGCTGGGCATATGCGCAGGTGTATTCAAAATCCTGATGGAATAGAGAAATGGGGGGAAAAACTTGTCATTCTAACACACCTGATTGGGGGAGTACTTTGTCTGTCTCTCCCCCTTACCCGTCCCCCCAAGTTCACGTGTCCTCTAGCAATAATTTTTTTTTAACTTAAAAAAAAAAGTTTTGCCTAAGCTTCCAAGAAAATATGTACAGTCATATTGTGTGTAAAAAATGTTTTGGTCAGTGATGGACCATATATATGACAGTGGTCTCTTAAGATTATGCCATGTAACCTAGGTGTACAGCAGTTTATACTGTCTAGGATTGTTAAAGTGCAATCTGTGATGTTTACAGAATGATGAATTTGCCTAGTGGTTCATTTCTTAGAATGTTATCTCTGTTGTTAAATGATGTATAGCTGTATGTGGAAATACTACAGAGTAAATAGGGGTTAGATCTATGGATACAGATTTGGAAGCCATTCTCATCAAGGTTATAATTTATGGAGATGGAAATGAAATTAATGTAACCTCTTTGTAAGTATTTATCAAAATTTAAAATGTACATATTTTTCAGACTTCATGTTTTCACTTTTAGCATTTTATTCTACAGCATACAAATATACCATTGAATGATACATATGAATAAATATGTTCACTGCAGTATTGTGGTTCCTTAAGTGAGCATTCAGTAAAAATACTCAAATAAGTTGTGTTATATACATGCACTGGAATCTCTATGTCCATTTAAATAAATGAGGCAGCCCAGTATGGGCTAATGCAGAAGTGAAAAAAGTAAGGTGTGGATTATCAAACATGCTATCATTGTGTTAAAAGAAAGTAAGACTAGAGCTGGCTCCATGGTCTGATCATTAAGGCATCTGAATCCTGCATGGCTACCTGTGCAGTTTTAATCCTGGACCCAGTGGTTTAAGAAACACACATGTGCATGCATGCCCAAAGTCTGAAAAGGAGGGAGAGTGGAAAGAGAAGGGGTTGGGGCATGACCATTCCCTATGGATGAGTGGTTTCTCTCAAAAAAAAAAAAAAAAA